CAAACTTCCACATCTTTTTCCCCGCTGAGCGACTGGTGGGTTTGAACCACTGAACTTTCAATTAACAGCCGAGTGCTTAACCACTGCACCACCAGGGCAATCTAGTACTACTGTAAGATTAGACAGGTTATGAAATAGAATAGAAAACTTGGAAATAAAAACTAGCGAATATAAAAATTTAGAACAGGTTTACAAGCCTTCATTCCCAATTCCAAACTCCAAAAAGAAAACCAAATTTCTTTTCAAAACTAATTTTGGGGGAAAATTGGAAGTTAACTGACATGAGGTTATTTGTAGCCTTTTTATCCCACTTAGAATGAGTATTCAGGAGTTGCATTATAGAAATAGTAATGTGTTTCACTACAGGATGCAGCATGGAAGTCACCTAATAAGTTATGTATATATATATATATAACCTTCACCCATTGCTGCCCTACTCATGAAATGAAATGTTGCGCAGTCCTGAGCCATCCGCATGATTAGTTGTGGATTGGATCAGTGTGATCCATATAGTTTCCATAGGCTGATTTTTGGAAGTAAATCATAAGGCCTTTCTTCCAAGTTCATCTTAGACTGAAACTCTGCTAAAAACTGTTCAGTATCATAGCAACATGCAAGTCCCCACTGACAAACAAATGATGGCTACGCATGATGTGCATTGGCCAGCTGGGAATCAAACCTGGCTCTCCGACATGGAAGGTGATAATTCTACAACTGAACCACCAATGCAGTATATATATATGCATGTGTGTGTGTGTGTGTCTGTGTGTGTGTGAATTTTCGTTGTTAGGTGCCATCGAGTCAGTTCCAACTCACAGTGACCCTATGTACCGTAGAACAGAACACTGCCTGGTCCTGTGCCATCCTCACAATCATTGCTATGTTTGAGCCCATTGTTGCAGCCACTGTGTCAATCCATCTTGTCAAGGTCTTCCTCTTTTTCACTGACCCTCTACCTTACCAAGCCTAATGTCCTTCTTCAGGAACTGGTCCCTCCTTATAACATGTCCAAAGTATGTGAGACAAAATCTTACCATCCTTGTTTCCAAGCAGCACTCTGGCTGTACTTCTTCCAGGATAGACTTGTTCATTCTTCTGGTGGTCCATGGTATATTCAATATTCAAAATTGCAGCACATTTGCCCAATGTGCTATGTCAGTTGTTTGCTTTTTTTTTTAAATTGTACTTCAGGCGAAAGTTTATAGCTCAAGTTAGTTTCCCATACAAAAACTTATACGCACATTGTTATGTGACCCTAGTTGCTATCCCTATAATGTGACTGCACATTCCTCCTTTCTACCCCAGATTTCCCGTGTCTATTCAACTAGCTCCTCTCCCTTTCTGCCTTCTCATCTTGCCTCTGGACAGGAGCTGCCCATTTAGTCTCGTGTATCTACTTGAACTAAGAAGCACACTCTTCACGAGTATAGTTTTATATCTTATAGTCCAGTTTATTCTTTGCCTGAAGAGTTCGCTTCGAGAATGGTTTTAGTTCTGGGTTAACAGAGAGTCCAGAGGCCATGTCTTCTGGGGTCCCTCCAGTCTCAGTCAGACCATTAAGTCTGGTCTTTTTACTAGAATTTGAGTTCTGCACCCCCACTTTTCTCCTGAGCCATCAGGGACTCTTTGTTGTGTTCCCTGTCAAGGAGGTCATTGGTGGTAGCCAGGCTCCATCTAGTTCTTCTGGCCTCAGGCTGATGGAGTCTCTGGTTTATGTGGTCCTGGTGCAGATCGGGGAGAAGGCACGTAAATGGGAGAGAGATTCTTTCAAAAGGGGATGTTTTTTGATCCGCGAGATAGGTTAGACGCATGTACTTATCTTTTGCCAATTGAGCGCTGCTTCTTACTGGTTCTGGAGGGTTGAGCAGACTCTCCAACTTTCAGTCTTTCCAGATGTGGAAAACACGCCCGAGCATCACTGCTTGCCTCACCGCGCACGCCAGGCAATCCAGCCTGCAGGAACTATTCTTCTTTTGAAAAGAACAGATTCTGGCTTGCCACTGGGCATTGGTAGAGACTGAATACCTAACCATGGGCCTCAGATGATTGTTTAGCCTGAGCTTCCCACCATGAACTGGCATGGTCTGACTCATCAAGTCATAAAATTAGGCATGTACAGTAGCAATCTATCATCAAAAGGAAATGGTACAAACCCTAGGGGGCAGTGAATTTATGTTAATAGGTGAGGAACAACTCAGAGAAGGAGAATGTGAATGGTTTCACAACTTGAAGAGTATAATCAATATCACTGAATTGTACATATAGAAAAGATTGAAATGTATGTTTTGCTGTGTATATTTGCAATGATGACAACAAAATAAATTTAAAAAAATAAAAATAAATGAAATCATAAAAGAAGGAAGTGGTACATAAGAGACAGAGCTGGAACATGCCTGGAAGCATGGGTAATTTGCCTGAGACGGTGGTTTAGACTCCTTGACACAAACTCCTGTTGCATTGCCTCCTCTCCATCAATTCATGCCTGGAGTACTCCATATAACCAGTTGGCTGAGAATGAAAAACTTGGATCTGGTGTACAGATGGGTCTACACAGTATGCTTGTACTACCTGAAGGTGGACATCCGGACACTATAGCTCTATAAAGTGTGGATGACTCTGAAGAACAGTTGTAAAGGAAATCCTCCCAGTGGGCACAAATGTGACCAGTACGCTTGGTTGTTCACTATGTCTGATATGAGAGATGGCCAGAAGTAGGCATGCATACTGATTTTATAGACTGTTGCTGATGGTTTTTGCTGGGTGGTCAGGGACGTGGAAGAAACAACATTGGAAAGTTGGTAACAATAACTAGAAGATGAGACAGCTCTTGGCCATTTTGGGTTCCTTATGACTCCTTATGCTATGATGCTGAAGCCTGTGCCACCAGTATTTTAAATACCAGCAGAGTCACCCGTGGTAGACAGATTTCAGCGGAGCTTTCAGATTCGGATAAACTAGGAAGAAAGACCTGGAGATCTACTTCTGAAGATTAGCCAATAAAAACCTTGTGAATCACAGAAGAACATTGTCTGACTCACTTGCTTTGGACATGTCATCAGGAGAGATCAATTGCTGGAGGAGAACATGGTGTTTGGTGAAGTGGAGGGCCCGTGAAGATGAAGGAGACCCTCATTGAGATGGATTGGCACAGTAGCTACAACAATGGACTTGAATGTGCTGACAATCGTGAGAATGATGCAGGACCAGGAAACATTTTGTTCTTTTGTACATAAGGTCTCTGTGAGTTGGAGTCGACTCAGTAGCAGCTATCTATCTGTCTGTCTGTGCCTCTAAACCAATAGACAGAAAAAGAGATTACTCAACTGGCTAAAGTGATTGATCCTGGGGAAATTGGGTGGCTGCTACATAATGGGGGAAAGGAAAGCTATGTCTGGAATGCAGGAATTCTCTAGGGTTCCTCTTAGTCCTTTTACGCCCAATAGAAAAGGTTAATAAAAAACTATAGTACCTCTTCTCCCCTCACCCCCCGCCCCCCAAAAAAAAGGCAGAACAAATGGGGACTCAGACCCTTCAGGAACGAAAATTTGGATTACTTCTCTATGTAAAGAACTTTGACCAGATTCTGGCTGAGGACAGGGGAAATGTGAAATGGGTAATGAAGAAGAAAGTCATAGATAGCAATTATGGTCTCCTGACCAATTAGAGAAATGAGGATTGTAGTAAGTTTGCATATTTTCCCTTTTCTTGTTAGATTTATTTTTACATGCTAACAATCTTCTTTTTTTTTCCTCCTTCTTCCATTTTTTATTTTGTATATAAGTTGTTAAGGAACCCTGGTGGCGCAGTGGTCAAGCGCTTGGCTACTAACTGAAAAGTTGGCTGTTAGAACCCACCAGCAGCTCATCAGGAGAAAGATGTGCAGTTTGATTCTGTATTACAGCTTTGGAAACAGTATGGGGCAGTTCTACCCTGTCCTATAGGGTTGCTATGAGTCGGAATCGACTTGAAGGCAACGGGTTTGGTTTTGGTTTTATGTAAGTTGTTGGAATTTATCATTACAGTTTAATATTTAAGGAACAGATTATTAGGTGGAACAGTGATGGAATTTAAATAATAATTAATATAGCCAGCAGTGGATACAATGACTATTGGGACTGTGCATCTCCTCATTTTGGGAAAGTGTAAACTTCTTGCCTTGTAAGAAAAGGGCTTTAAAACGTGCATACCATGCTATAGCTCTTATTACTTATAACTAGATTGATTTCTGAAAGGAGTTAACCAGTATAAGATGTGGTCAACAATGTATACATGTATCTGATTACTCATGTTATCATTAAATTTCATGATATTTCTTTATGTTTGCTAAGGTAATAGATGAAAATAATGCTCTCTTGATGTTTTACATTATGTAACTGCTGTTGATTTGTTTCTGGTTTACAATATGTGTACACCTCAAGTACAAATGCTATGTTTTATAATGTATGCGCTCAGGGAGGAGGTTGTAGCAAAACACAATATGCATTTGTTCATTTGCTATTTCACTATCCCTTGACTATTTGCAGGTACACATGACATTTGATGCCAACAGTGCCATCAGGTCAGGTGAGAGGGCTCTGATCTGTCTCATCCTGGAGCGTTATCTGTATCTGATCTACTTCTTATTATGTGCCCTTTTATTAATGAGCTCCTTTGTGGAACTCCAAAGCAAAGATAATAGTTATGGACTCAGGGTCTCTGTTCTTGTCCAGCCTCCTCAGCTGCAGCCAAGGCACCCCTTCTGGATTAATTTACAAAGGCTGTGGTAGGAGCACACAGCCTCTCTATGGGTAGAGGTAGTAGGCAACCCCTTTTTCCCAGGCACAAATTCTTCTTTCTTCACTATATTTCTCAGCTTTTGGAGGTCCCTTCACTTTGAATAAGGAGAAAATACAGTTGAATTTAATTAAAAGGCAAGTTCCACAGGAGCTCTGAGTTTACAAAGTTCTCTTTCTTTGTAGATTGATTTTTTTTCATAGAGCAAAAACCCTACTGCCCATTTCTTACCCTGAGACACATATTTGCTGCCTCAGCATCCTCTGCAGAGCTGCCTTCACCTCCTGGTTCTTGAGGCTGTAGATGAGGGGGTTCATCAAAGATGTGATTACACTGTACTGTATAGAGACCACCTGCTCCAAGACTGATCCTGAAGAGGGGCTGATGTACCTGAATAGAGCTGTCCCGTAGAACAAGAGCACCATGGTGAGGTGGGAGGAGCAGGTGGAGAAGGCTTTGCCTTGGCCCACAGAGGAGGAGATACTTTGAATGGCAAACATAATTTTTGAGTAAGAGAAGAGGATCAAGAGAAGTGTCACAAGTCCTAGAAATGCAGCCGACCCAGCTAGAAGGATGATGTTGGCAGTGGGATCAGTGCAGGACAGAGCAAAGAGGGAAGGCAGCTCACAGCTGAAGTGGGGGATGATATTGGGCCCACAGAACTGTAAGCTGTGAATACAAAGATTGTTCACTAGTGAGTTTAGAAACCCCATCCCCCATGCTGCACTGACCATGGCAATGAAGAGAGGCCTGTTCATGACCACAGTGTAGAGCAGAGGGCGGCAGATGGCTGCATAACGGTCGTAGGCCATGGCAGAGAGCAAGCAGCCCTCCGTGCCCCCAGAAAGAATAAAAAAGAAGCTCTGAGTGATGCATCCCCACACTGAGATGGTTTTCTTCTGAGACAGGAAATCCTGCAGCATCTTAGGCACAGTGACTGAGGAGTAGCAGGCGTCTAGGAAAGACAGGTGTCCAAGGAAGAAGTACATGGGGGTATGGAGGCGGGAATCAGCCCTGATCACCAGCAGCATCATCAGATTCCCCATCAGGGTCAGGAAGTAGATCACCAGGAAGAGCACAAAGAGCATGGTCTGGATCTGGGGGTCACTGGACAATCCCAGGAGCACAAATTCATTAATAATACTAAGATTTTTCATGGTTTTTTTACAGATACTGTTCCTAGAAAGAAACAAATACTTCTTCAGTTGGTGAGACAGTGATTGGAGTCATTCTCAGTATACAGGATTTTTTTTTTTAAACCTATAAATATTTCACCTTTTAGCTTCAAGCCAGAAATTAAATCTCAGGATAAAAAAATATTTGACTGCCTTGTTAAATACTGTAGCTTTCCTTCTCCTGCCCAACCTCTCCTAATCCTCTTATACAGCTCAACATCTTTTTCTTTATAGCACTTAACACTTTCTAACATACTGGATAATTGACTTACATTAAAAAATTCTCTCCTTGCTAGAATTTATAGCATACATAGACAAGGATCTTTTTTTCTCCCAACTAATGCAGCCCAGGTCAGTCTCTGGGTGGCAAAAATGATTAAGTGCTAGACTACTAGCCAAAAGGTTGGTGGTTCAAACCCACCAGAGACAGCTTGGAAGTTAAGTCCTGGTCATCTGCTTCCTTGAAAACCCTGTGGAATTCAGTTCTGCTCTGCACACTTGGGATTGCCATGAGTTGGAATTGACTCAACAGCAACTAACAACAAATGCATCCCAAGTGCCTATAACTGTCACTGGCTCAATAACTTTTGAGAAGAATATCAGGAAAGTGTCACAAGTCCTAGAAATGTGGTAGACCCAGACAGAGGGCTCTCAATAAATATTTGTGGAATGAAAGAAAGAATGCCTCCTCAACCAGAATCTCCTCTCTTAACCCTTGTTGCTACCAGCTCCCCAACTCCTTAGATGGTAGACCTCTCATAGTCTCTACCCTCTCATATTCTTCCCCAGTGTTTCCTCAGCACCTGATAACATCCAAGGTGAGGTGAACCCTGTGGTTTAAACACGTAGAAAGCCACCACATCAGAGGCAAAGCAAGAGAGACTCTTTCATAGGAGGCTACTTTTCAGAAAAATTAGAGCTTAAGTTTCTAGCATATTTCATCCAAAAGGAACATTCATAGACATGGAATTGGACCTCTCTTTTCTGATGAGCAGAATGTGGGACAGAAGGGTGACATTACTTGCACAAAGTAACACAGCTAGATGGTGTCAAGAGCCAGAACAAAGCCAGGTGTCCTGACTCTTGTCCAGTTCTCTTCCATTGCTCCACACATGGACAGTGTCTTAGTTATTTATTGCTGCTATAACAGAAATACCACAAGTTGGTGGCTTTAACAAACAAAAATTTATTCTCTCACAGTCTAGGATGTTAGAAGTCTGAATTCAGGGCACTAGCTCCCAGGGAATGCTTTCTCCCTCTGTCAGTTCTGGGGGAAGGTCCTTATCATCAATCTTCCCCTGGTCTAGGAGCTTCTCAGCGCAGGGACCTGGGGTCCAAAGGAGATGCTTTGCTCCCAGTGCTGCTTTCTTGGTGGCATGAGGTCCCTCTCCGCAATGCTCAATTCACTCTTTTATATCTCAAAAGAGATTGACTCAAAATACAACTTAATCCTGTAGATTGAGTCCTGTCTCATTAACATACTGCCTCTAATCCTGCCTCATTGACATCATAGAGGTTAGGATTTACAACACATAAGATACTCACATCAGATCACAAAATGGTGAATAACCACACAATACTGGGAATCATGGCCTAGCCAAGTTGACACACATTTTTTGGGAACACAATTCAGTCCATAACAGACAATAAATATCTATGGATTTAAAAAGCTTTGGGTTGAGCCTGGTGTGGATTGGGGGGATAGGATTGACCTTTCACTTGAGGCCACTGTTATGCCCCAGTTTTCCTTGGACCTGGGTGATTGCAATATTCTCTGAGATTCTACAGCAGCTGTAGTGGCAGTGAAACAACACTAGATTTAGGGTCAGAAGACCTTTGCTGCTTACTGACTGTGAAACCTTTCCAAGATATAACTTTTCAAATGCAAATCCTTTCTTTTTTTTCTCCTTCCTTCTTTCCCTCCTGCTCTCCCCCATACCTCATTTCACACACCCTCTTTCCTGTCCCCAGCACCCTCATACATACATACTCAAAGGATAGTAACTATCATTTACTTGATATGTACTATATCCCAGATAAATATTCTCTATCCTGTATAGGCTTTTCATATCATTTAATCCTCATAACACGTGGTAAGGTAGGTATTACCAACCCCTTTTCTGTGGGTCACAAAGGTTAAGTGACATGCTCAGTCACAGCCCTTACAAAGTAGCAGAGTTGGGACTCACACCCAAGGTTGTCTGACTCCAAATCTCATTCTTTTTCTACTTTTGCAACACTGCAGAAATTTGCTTGTGACTATGAGAAAATAATTCTCACTTTGGAGATTTTGCATTTTCTTGGGGAAACTTGGGAGCCCAGGCAAGCATATGAGGTGGCCCTGGGAGTTTGAGCCATTGACCTGTGTCTGGAAATTCTCCCTTACCCAGGATGTCCTAATGCTCACAGAGAGATGAACATGAGGCTATTTGAGCCTTTGGAATAGGGATGGGGACTTTTGGGTCAGGGAAAATTCCAGGAAGAGAAGATTAAGGAAAAGGCATATTGAGGACTGAGAACAATTCTGGGAGAAAAAAGCTGAACTCTACAGGGATGGGGAAAATGGGGTATTAGAGATGGCCCTTCCAGGTTTCCCTCATGTGTTTGCCTACTTGAAGCAACTGAGAAAGTCTTGGTGATGCATCAAGTAAGTGATCGTAGACATGAAAGACTGGGATTTATTCAGATAAAGAAAAATTCTCTTTTTGTCCCCTTTCCTAAAAACAATAGCAAATTTAACTTAAAAAAAAAAAAAAGATTTTCATTGCACTCTTCCAACAGCTACCATGCTCTATTTTGATCCTACGTGGCAGCAGGGCACTACCCTCTGCCAGAACTCTAGAACTCTAGAAATCCCCAGGATCCCTGAATGTAAGTTTAGTGAAAATTTTCCAGGTATGCTCCATGTAACCCAAATGTGCTGCCCCAGTGCTTGAGGCCACCATAGGCACTGAGAGGTTAGTCCAGTGTGTAGGTCTCTGACTCTACCCCCACTTACTTTAATCATCATAACTTTCCATGTTTTACTTTGTATATACATGACTTTTGCAGTGAGTTTTTAAAAAATAATAATGAACAAAATATTTCTCTAATTAAACAACTTTGAAAACAAGTGACTTAGGGAATCTTTATATTCACCATTCCACCCGTACTCCATCTTAGAGAAAGATTTTTTTCTCCTGTCCAGAGCTTGGTACATGAAGAAACAGTATAGGAAAATCCCAAATGGGCAAAAGGTTAGAGAACTCAACCTTGCAAGCCAGTTTCTACTTAGTTTTGTGACTTTGAGCAACAATCTTCTCCATTCTGGGTCCTGTTTCCAATTCTAACAAGAAATTTAGAACTAGTGCCTATTCTGATCCCTCCCACTTGAATGTATCCCTGGCTTGCTCACCTCCTCACTGAGCAGAGCTATCTCAGGTCCAGAACACCCTTTGGACTTTGAGCCAGGATGTCAACTGTCTCCACTGCAGGGCTCTGACATGTGAGAGAAACTCTCCAGCAGTAGGGGTCTTCTGCAGAGAGCGCCAACTAGATCCTACACAAAATGGGCTTAGTTCCCAATCAATGCTAGGTCCAAAGTCATGTTCAAACTCAAAGCAGCTCACTATGCGGTCAGTTCTGGGTAAAGGCTAAAGTGTCCCAGCATTCAGTTGATACTGTTTTGAGTCTTGTGGTCCCAGCTAACAGAAGATGGTACTCCTTATCATTTTACTCTTTTGTCTAAAACAGTCCTGAAGAAAGCTCATGGCCAGTTTGTATGACTTATATTTCTTCCTTCATCAACTTGTTGCTAACCTCCTGCTAAGCAGACCCTGGGGAGGGTTGTTGAGTAGGCACCCTAGAGAGCCAGGAACTGCTCACTGCCTATGGGAGAGGTGGCAATAACCAGAGTCAACGGGGCCATCAGTCCAGGGATGGACAGGCTACTGCTACTGTTGTGGCCAGAGAAGGACACAGGAGTGCAGAAGGCTCCTGGCTACAAGCTGCTTTGCTAATAATAGGAGAGCAGGGGGCTAGGTGAATGCCACCGTATGAGACTATGCTTGGGACTTCTTTAGTCCTCAATAGTCCTGGGGTTCTGAAAACTGACTCTCTCTTTCCACCCAGGTACATACACTCCCATTCCTCACTGTGATTAATTCAACAGTTTCATTACTCTTCTGAAGCTACCTACACCTTCACCTTATACTCCCAACTCTTAGCTGATATTTCACAGAGGAAATGTTCCTGTTATGAGCAATCTTCAACTTTCTGATTTCTACATGTAGAATTATTCTCCCCTTCTCGCCTCCAGATGGGGGAGAAGGCCTTTTTCCTTTATCTATGGTCAGTGTCCTTCTCAGCTCTGAATATCACCTGGACTTTTCTTGAGCATTTTCCTGAATCAACCACACTCTTTCTCTTCCATCATCTGTCCCTTTCCATTGAGCCTTTTGATCCAGCTTATACTTACATTTACTTACATTTCTTACTTACTACATTTACTTACATTTCTCCCATTTAAAATAGAGCAGGAAGAACTAGTAAACCCCTCTCTTCCAGAGGAAGCCTTAAAAAGATAATGGAATTTGGAGGCTTTCCTTGAGTAATGATGAAAATTGTCATTAAAGATTTCTACATGTGAAAACACTAAAATTTAGGCACTTTTCCTTTTGAGATGCAAGGGAAAGTACAAGCTGGTGAAAATGTTACTCTTACCCATCTACATTGTAATCTAATTCTGAGATTGTCCGAATCCTTCAGAAGATATATATATATTCTGAAAAGACCAAAATGGATGTCAGAAGAGACTCTGAAAGTTGCTCTTGAACATAGAGTAGCTAAAGCAAGTGGAAGAAATGATGAAGTAAAAGAGATGAACAGAAGGTTTCAAACGGCAGCTTGAGAAGACAAAGTAAACTATTATAATGAAATGTGAAAAGATCTGGAATTAGAAAGCCAAAAGGGAAGAACACACTCAGCATTTCTCAAGCTGAAAG